AAAAAAAAAAAAAAAAAAAAAAAAAAAAAAAAAAAGAGGAGGAAGAGGGAGAAAAAGGAAGAAGAAGCAAGAGAAGAGAAAATAAAAAAAGATATAAGGAAAACACAATATGGAGGCAGGAGCCAGCGTGGATACAAGCAAGCAGAGTAACAGTACATTCCGAAGTACATTTCAGTGAGATTCTCAAAGTGAATGGCACCAGTTTAATCCCTGGTGGATTTCTGAGTTTCTGATTGTTCTCCTCAACTCTTGCGAGTCCAAGCAGATGGGGTTAACACCAAATATACTCCTATGTTTAGAAATGCTCTTGGGTGCGATTTGTGAGGCTCAGAAAAATGTTCATTTTGATAATGAAGCTCAAAGTGGACCAAATTGTACTTTCATTTCTCAACTCTGTGCCCCAGCCTGGGTCACAGAACCCCACAGTCCTCTGGGTTTCTAGCCTTTTGTGACTCCAAAATCACCCTGCCAGTCATCATTAGATGATATGAGCTTTTCCTTCATTAAAAATATCTACCTACCAGGGCACAAATTTATTCTTGAGCCACCTGATTTTCAGCTTCCTATTTCCAGTTTCTTTTTTCTTTATGACTCAACAGAGGGCAGTTGCTGTATTCTTTGGAAGTTTATTCTGTTTTCAACCCAACTGGATCTCTCTTCAAGTATGATGGAGGTATAGGTATAGCATCGGTCTTTTCCCTTTGTTATGGTGTCTACACTTCCAAAATTGATCTGGGAAGATTATCAAGTGTCATTTGTCATAGAGAACTCTCAGATAAATATGCCACCTTACCCTCAATATTTCTACCTCGAAGGGCAAGTGATTGCTTATAAGAAAGCAATGTATGTGATACCCGATGAGATCCCAGCTATTATAATCTTGACCTTATTATAAACTACTATTGACCAATGGACAACCAGCATTCTGGCAAGAAGACAGGAAGGGAAATACTCCCAGGTTCCTGGGGTTACTTCCTAAAATCTAGGCCGCCTGCTCTCACGGCCTTCTGAGTAACTTCTAAACAAACACGGGCTCTTTCACACAGCTACGAGTTTAACTGTTGCTGTGCTCTGGGGCTGTGCCAAAGCAAACAGTCTGTCGTTTAAAGAGAGGAAAACAAGGTTCCAAGACTCTGAAATAGCAAAGAAAATAAATGACAGCAACCGAAGGATAAAGGGGACTATATTAGAAAAGTGGCTATTTGCTAAATCCTGCCTATTTACCAGGCAGCAGCTGAACAGGGTTAATTTAAAAAGTCTCCCTAGATGTTTATTTAGTTTGTTTCAAAGGTATTGGGTGCAAGTGATATCAAACTCCTGAAAGAGAAAGAAGAAGAGGGCAAGAATGGTGCCATTAAGAATGAGATCAACCAAGGAAGTCTTCTCTGGGGAAAGCTGCCAGCCTTAATTCTCCAAAGAGGCATAGATCTATTTAGCAGAGTACACGAATCCCAGTGGTATTGAATTATTGCTAAGGGAAGTTAAGAATGAACAGAGCCCTGTGTGGGTGGCCAGAGGAAATCAATTCTGTTGTGAAAGAGTCCTCCACTAGGTTTCCCTCAAAGCAGAGGTAAAGACAAAGGAGGGTGCGAAAGCAATTCATTCAGGAGATGTTCTCAGGAAAAACAGGGCTAGAGGAGAGAAAAGAGAAGGCGAAAACGTCAAAACAGCAGTGTGTTCATACTAAGTTGATCCGCACTTTGGGGGCTCCATCCCATAAAACCTTCGGAGGAGGCTTAAAACACATGCTTCAAAACTGCTTACCTGGGAAATGAGAAGGGCTTTGTCTTGAAGCCATTGCTCAACCTTCCCTGAAGCACTGGCTCCCTCACTCTCTGGTTAGGTGTGCTTGAGTGCCAAGGCTGTTCCATGGAGACCCGTGCCAGTGTATGAGGACAGAAGAAAGGAATACAGTGTCCAGGAGAAGCAAGGATTTGCTGAAGACTAGTCCACACTTTTTTGGGATTCTGCAGCACTGGCTGGGGAAGAAGATGGGCAGAAAGAATATGAAATAACACACAAGTGACATCTATTCGTGGTTGACTCCTTCCAGCCCCTATGGTCATATCCTCCTTTAATTTTAAGTCTCCTCTCTCTCTCAAAGTCCCTTTATAGTTACAGCCAGCCCAAAACTCCAGGAGAGTTAATGCAAAATAGCTGGAGGAACAACCCCACAGCCGCTGTCCTTGAGGTCGTTTGTATTTGACATTTGTCATCTCTGTTCTCCAGCACCCAGTCTTGGTTCTCTTCCCCTCTGCACGGCAGATTGACGCAGACTCCCTTCCTGGAAGGGACACCCAGGTCTTCACTGAGGGGTTTGAGCCTTAGGTGCTTTGTCCTTCTCAGGACATGTTTCCTCCGGTGTCCTGTTCACCACTGTACTAGGCCAGGAAGCACCAGGAGGCTGCAAGGAATCCCCAAGTTTCTAGATAGCTTCCTTCTTCCCCCCTTGTAGAGTGGCAACCAGAGCTCCTCACGGTAATCAGCAGTGATCACTCACACCAGGATAGTAGTGCCCAGTCTGGGCTCAAACTTGCAATCCTCCTGCCTCAGCCTCCCAGAGTACTAGGATCACAGACATGCACAACCACTCCTGGCTCTGTACCTGTTTGATGTTAAAATATCGATATATGTATTTGTAGGGTTACCTCTTTCTCCCAGTCTATCAACTTTACTTCGTGTGTTTGAATCTCTTTTATTTGGTGCATGCATATTTGGTAGCTTTCCTGATCAAATTGGGCTGCAACATGATTCAGTTTCTTGCGACAGGGTCTGATGACTTCAGACTTGTCGGCTGAGGTGATTTTTGTGTCTCAGCTTCCCAAGTAGGTGGGGTTACAGAAGCCCACCACCGCACAGCTACGCTGCAACACAAATACTACAGATTTGGGGCTTCAACAGCAGAACTTTGTTCCCACCATTCTGGAGACTGAGAAGTTCAAGGTCAAGGTGTAGCTCATTTGGTTCCTGGTAAAGTGTTTCTTGGTTTTCAGACTGATGCCTTCTGGTCAGGTCCTTAAGTGAGGAGAGAAAGGTAAGGGGACCTGGAACGAAGAGAGAGGTATGAGAGGGCCGGGCAGTGAGACATGAGAATGCGTGAGAATATATCAGTCTCTCATAAGGTGCCAGTCCTCCTGGGCAGCAGGGTTTCAAACATATACATATATTTGGGGGAACGTAAACGTTCTGTTCATAGCGCAGTTGTCTTCTTTAAGGAACTGACACTTGTGTAGTGCTGAAAAGTTCCTCCTGTTCCTAGTACAGTTTCTTGCCTTGAACTCTCCTCTGTCTGACGTTGTTACATCCACATTTCCTTTTCTGCTTACTGCTGCCCTGAGTATCTTTCTCATCCTTTCTGCTTTTCCTCCCGTCTTCCGAAAGGCAAGACGGAGTGTTTGAAGTGGGGCATATTCAGCTACCCCTGTGATTAGAAGGTAAGCATCCATTTATCTGAATGGTCCACCTCCTCCAAATCTTATTTATAACCAGGTCTGTTGCTGATCTATTTGCTGTCTTTTTCATGGTCTCATGTTTACCACAAAGATTCCCTAAGCTTTGTTTCCTAGACGTAACACCCGCCTCCCCAGGAATACATCTGGATCTGGGGAGACTGGAAACACTTTCCGTGGCAACAGGAGCTCCACAGGTGTGTTAGCCCGGATTGCTCAGGTGGTCCTAATCTAATCAGGAGTCTAGCAGTGGCCAGAGGAAGAGATGTGAGGACCAGAAAAAAGGTCAGAGAGATGCAGCCTT